TGTTTGCTCCGACACTTGAACATAACTCAGCTGCTCAGATTTTGACCTACAAAGTTATGTGTTGTTACGATTTATTAAGTCGTCCACTGATTTAGCACTGCAGTCCTTTGACATTGCTGCAGTCATGATGAACAGTTTTAAAAAATAAAGGCATCATAATTGATGCAACAGAAGCAAATTTGTCATCTTTTTGGTGCCTACATTACCCACAATGCAACTCACTTTAGTCAGACGTTCAGGTGTGTTATGCTGGCAACAGCCTCTATATATTATACTACTTTTTCCACATATGCTGTGGTCTCACATAACCAGACTTATCTCCACAGTGCTGTGTCAGTGCTAGAGAAAGCTCTGGAGGGACATATTATCATCATCATCGGATGTTGGTGATTGAGCAGAGAAGAAATTGTAGTAAAGTTGTCAAATGGTAGTAAAGGTGCATTGGTAAATGCAATAGGCCAATAACAGTTAAGATGAGTAATCCAGAGCAGCCCTCAATTATTTGACTCAAACATAGCTTAACCATGTCATATGATACACTGATTCAGTGCATTTTAAAAACAAATACTACTCTGACCATTAGATAAAGTTGCAGATTAACATTTTATCATCTATAAATTCATATTATAGACATCACTAACTATCCCTATAACAATTTGGCCACAATTTAGCACACCGACCAAACACAGTGCAGCCATATGCGAGGTCTCCACCTACAGTAGTTTTGTTTCCCCATAAATGGCAAACACGTCACAGTTTTACTAAATATACAAAAAATACTGAAAACCAGCCAACAGTTTAAAATGTCTGCTAAGATCTGGGGAGGCGAGCACCGTCCTTAAAATGGCTAATTCTCCACTAAAAAACGCCACAAAAACCAGGAACACATGGTTTTCGACTGTGTGATTCAACTTTGAAACATTGGCGAGGTTAGCGTCACTGAAGTATGCCACTGCCAGGGTAATAAGATGTGGCAAATCAACTCCGACTGGCTGTGCGAGAGTCCTGTGAGACGGACTCTGGGCTTGCTTAAGGTGCACTTACAAGTTGTTTTATTTGTTGCACATCTTTACAACAATTAACCGAACGTCAAAGCAAGCATGCCTCATTGCACGATCCACATCTTTTGTCAAAACTTGCCATCTTCAGTGTGTAGGCTGCTAGTTTCCCGTAGTGAAGTGGATTTTGAAGTCAGTAACATACAGATAGTGGAAGAGGGGGAGAATACTGGCCTAAAATGCGAGCCAGTGGCAGGCTCATAGCCATAGTCTGTTTCCACTGAATCAGTTCATGTGCAGTAGTACGCTCCAGGACCTGTAAACAGACTTGGATGTGTAAAATCGATAGACTTGCCCTTAAATTGCTTCTAATTTCCCTTCAAAAGACATCGTCATCAGGAGTCTGATGTTGTTTCTTCTGCCGCAGGGTATAGCTCGTGTGAAGAGCAGCAGTGATGTGGTGGGGGCGGTGATGAAGGAGCTGAGGCTGCAGAGCGGGCAGCCAGAGTCAGTCTTCCGCTTGGCCGTGGCTGTGGATGGTGTCAACGCCCTGTGGGGAAGATCCACCATCAAGAAGGAGGATAAGAGCCCTGTGAGGAAACACATCTTACAATCCTGTCATGCCTCATGCTTGTCTTCATGCTTCTCTCTCAGTTTCCACTGACAGGAAGTCTTCCGTGTCTCTCTTTCTTACCGTCATCAGGTGGATCCAGAGGAGCTCACTTTGATTTATAACCTGAGGAAGCTGATGACGAACGACTGGGTGAGAAGAACGCACTCAAGGCGATGACCACAGTTGCTTGAGAATATTATTTCTTTTTCCATTAACATTCACTCTCTTGGTCTCAGACTGGAGGCGCCATCATCACCACTCTGTCTCAGACGGGGTCTCTCTTCACTTCAAAATCTGCCTACTTGCCTCAAGAGCTGCTGGGAGAGGTCAGAGATCAGTTTATTGTACTTTGTAATCTGTAGCACTTGTCCTCAAGCTCTGACAGCAGATTAGTCTTTCCTTCTCTTTTCTAACTTGGGTCGTTAGTTGGGAAATGCAAACCTGGAGACTCCAATCCTCAAGACTCATGCAGAAGTTGTTTTTCAAATTTAAGTGAAATGATACTGCTTTGTGATGAACGTCTCTACTTTTTGTTGGAAGCGGTCCTGAACAGAAACAAATTATTGTCAAATCCTGGACCTGTTTCCAGAGTAAACCATGTGGTTGTGTTGTTGCAGTGGTTCACAATATTATTTATGTATCGGTTGTATTTATCCAATGTCTGCATGTCATAAGATCAATTTCCTAATGGAGCAATAAATCCATTATTGTCACCAGCCTCCTACGTTTATACTGCACCAACAATCGAACTGTAAAAATCAAAGCAGGGTCATAAACATTCTTGTCTCGCCAAATTAAAAAAATGTTGATTTTATAAATGTGTAATATTAATTATTTAGACTTCTGTTTTGATCACTCACCAGTTGGACTTAACTTTAACTTGTCTTGTTTTTAACAGGTTGATTAATTTTTAAAAATATGCAGTATATTTATATATTTGTATATAATGCAAAAAAGATGCATTGCATTTAAATCATAACAGTATTAATATCTCTATTTGTGTGAATATTGTAACAGGGCCTGTGGTGCATTATATATGATGATATGTAGTCTGCATTGTGTTAACAGTAATTTATTTCATCTAAATTATGCATATCTTGTTTTTGATATTTTCTTCTCTGATAATGCTAAACAGAATGACTCTGCATTTAATACCCCTCACAAAGACATTTGTTGTGCAGTATGTTGACTTCCTGTCTTTGTTTTGCTCATCAGAAGGGGTTCGACAGCATGGACCCGTTCATCCCAGTGTCGGTGCCCAACTACAGCGAGAAGGAGTTTGAGAGCTGCTACCTCTACTATTTGGACCGCCACTGGCTGCAGCACCCGCAGAGTGAGTGATGATACTGTGGATGCTTTTTTTTTTTTGTTTTTGTTTTTTGAAAGAAAGACATTTAAGTGATGCAGACAGAGTAACTTTAAACTCTTGCTTTCCCTCATCAGGTCGGACAGAGGAAGGGAAGAAAGAAATCATCTTTTTGAGCAACAGAAATCCAAAGATGTTGGACAGAATATGTGCCTCCCTGTGAAGTTACATAAAGACTTAAATCTCACACACACACACACACACACACACACACACACACTCACACACTCATACAAATATCAGTGTCCTACAACTACATAAACATACAAATATCTGTCTATAATATCTGTAAATTATGATGCATGTATGTAACTTTGATAACAAAATGTCAAATAAAGTTTAAAAAATGGCTTTTTGTTTGAAGTAATTATTGCACATCAAGTCAAATCCACAATAAAGGGGGCATCAGGGGCTTAGTGGTTAGAGCAGGCGCCCTATGCACAAAGGCCCTGTCCTTGCTGCAGCGGCCTAGGCTCGACCCTGGCCTGCAGCCCTCCTGCAAGAAGAGGAAATGACCACAAAAAGAGATGCAAAGGAGCACCAAAGACCAACTAACTACAGAAAAGGGGCAAAAGAACCAAAAGAGACACAGAATTAAGTCAAAGAGATACAAAATGATTATAAACACACAAAACCACAAAAAGATGCCTAACAATGACAGAGATGCAAGACAACAAAAAGATGCAACACCACTATAAAGTCTGGGTGTCTCACTCCTACAAAGGGAAGGTGGTTGGGCCTTATACAGTATGTGCCCAGCATGGATGGATTACTGAGCGGGCCTACCAGGCACAGGCCCAGGGGTCAAATTATCAGGGCCCTCCCTTGGCATTTACATAAATGTCACCCAAATGAACACATACATACAAGGAAGACACAAAAAGCCAAGAAGGAGATGCAAAAGAAATGCAAGGAGGTGACAAAATAACTATAAAAGAGGTGCAACAAACAAAAAGAGACACAAAATGTCCAAAAGGTCACAAAATTTCTCGCACTGTAAAACCACCACAGAAACACAAAAAAAACTACAAAAAGGACAAACCAACCAAAGAGAGACACAAAATGACTTCAAATAAACAAAAAATGACCAAAAGAGACAAAATTGCCTTAAAAAAGACCTCAGAGACACAAAACAACTACATAAAGTGGTCAAATGTCCAAAAAGAGACACAAATTAACAACAAAAAAATGGTTAAAACAGCTGAAAAAAAAAACACAAAATGATCTCAAAGACACACAGGGCGACCAAGGAGACACAAAATAACTACAAAATTTCAAAACATCCACAGAAAGACACAAAATGACTACAAAGAAGCACAAATGAACAGAAAAGACAGAATTACCACAAAATGACTTCAGAGAGACACAAAACAACTACAAAAATGGAACAACAACCAAAGAGAGACACAAAATGACCACAAAAAAAACCCTACAAAATGGCAACAGAGATACAAAATAACTAGTAGACAATAAAACAACCAAGGAAAGACACAACATGAGGACATAAAAACAATCTACAAGGAGACACAAAATGACCAAAATAGACAGAAATCCCAACAACAAGGAAGCAAAATCACCTCAAAGGCTGTGTATGTTTGTGTTTCCAGCTCTGTGTAGCAGAGATGGTGGTACCTTTTGCATATCTGTGTCCAGGGGCCCATTGTCTCACAGTCTGGGATGGTATTATCTACCACTTAGGTGCACTTGAGATGGGAAACAGGGAGGAAAGGTGAAGCAGAAATAAAACAACCTTGTTTTGAACCCATGTTTGAGACGTGATATGTTTTACTTTAACAAAGACTTTAAAATGTACAAAGAGAAAACTGAGAACGTCATGGAAATAAATGTACAAGCCGTGTTACAGGCTTTTTTTAAACGTCTAAAAACATGAACTCTGGATGACAGCAGCATGAATTCCTTTATTCTCCGACTTCTTTGTGGTGCGGCGCCACCTGGCTGCGGCTCAGAGTGCTGCACGGCTGTTCACGTGACACTTCACAAAGTCACATGACTGGCCTAAAGTCTCACGTATGATCGCTTAAAAAGAGTGGGAAGAGGAAACGGTGGTATGGCACATTGGACAACACTGAGGTGACCGTCAACTGTGAACATCTTCAAAGTGAAGTCTCGTGAGATGCCAGAGTTCGTGTCAGGATCCTCTGAGGTGAGATAGTGTTGATAAAGTGCTCTGAATGACCTGACAATATAATGTGTGTGTGTGTCAGCTAAATGAATGGAGCAGGTGGGTCTTTGTTAACTTGTGTTTTACTGTTTGAAGTGCTGCCTGACACCAATCTGAACCAATATGCTCTTTGTTTGTAGATAACATGGCGTTGTTGTTGCCATCACCTGTGCTTCTAGCTCTTGTTTTCCTCTCAGTAGAAGTGACACTCTGCACAGGTAACACAACACAGGTGCACCTGTCTCAGTGCTTGCATCCTTTTGCATTTAAACTTCTGTCCACCAGCACAGGCATAAAGTCACATATTTATGGCTTCTTCTCCTTCCAGGAAGTAATAAATGTGTCGCCAGAAGCTTTGGCCATGACTCTGTAGTGTGTGAGTGTAACTCGACCCACTGTGACAGTGTTGGGCCAGTCACCTTGCCTCCACTGGGCCAGTACGCCTCCTACCTGAGCAGCATGGCCGGCAGCAGACTGGACACGGGCCAGGGTCAGGTCCAGGTGAACAGCAGCGGGACAGGTGAGGGATGATGGGAGCTTCTGCTGGGATGTGTGAGGTGTTGGAGCAGGTGCAGAGCGTCTCTTTTGTTTATACATACAAATTTATTATATCAGGATAAGAGCTGACCAGGAACAGTCACAAAAAGCCAACAAGGAGATGCAAACAAAGACAAAGAGACATAAAATAACCAAAACAGACAAAATGACCTCAAAGAGACACAAGATTCCTGAGGAAATTCCAGGTATTCCCTCAGATACTGAGGAATTTCTTCTCCTGCACCATCGAGAGCGTCCTGATGGGGAACATCACTACCTGGTACGGAAGAGGGCTGCAAGGCCCTGCAGAGAGTGGTTCATTCAGCTGAACATATGATAGGTGCTTCTTTACCCTGCTGAAAGGATGTTCACACCAGGTGCTGCAAAAATAAGGTCAGGAGAATCATTAAGGATCCCAGCCACCCAGGTAGCTGTCTTTACTCCCTGCTGAGGTTAGGAGGAAGAGGCCAGCACTGAGAGGCTCAGGAGGAGCTTCTACCCTGACCCTGCCTTATCATAAACATTGAAATGTATTCATTACTACCACCACTACATATTGACAGAACTGACAGGACAGCTATTAGATTTCCTGAAAGCATATTTAATCATTTCACCTAACAAATAAAAACTGATTGATTTAAAGATATAACATTAAGGGGAGTGAGATTTATGTGTTTCTTTCAGGCCTCAAGTTGACTATCGTTCCGTACCAGAAGTACCAGAAGATCAGGGGCTTCGGTGGAGCTATGACAGACGCAGCAGCCATTAACATCCTGTCACTTTCTGCCGGTGCACAGGACCAGCTGCTGCGACAGTACTTCTCCCCTGAAGGTACGCTCAGTAAAAACAACCACCTGAAAATACCCACTGTCTGTGCAACAGTATGGTGATGTGTCAGGAAAGCGTACTGTGACGATAACATCCATGAATAACGGATACATTTATTATTCATGTCTCTATATTTTTCATGTAAAAACAAATAGCAACCAGTGTTTTTCTACATAGCAACAGTGGTCGTGCTCTGACACAATGAAAAATACATTTCACACGTTCTGTTAGCGGTGTCTGTATGTGCAGGTTAGCTTGTTTCCCACATCAACAGAATCGACATTACCCAGCATCATTCATACAGGTTGTATTAGGGCTTGGTTGCATGGTTTAAAGGTCCAGCATGTAGAGTTAAGGGTGATATTTTGGCAGAAATAATATAATAAATATGTTTTCTTTAGTGTATAATCACCTCAAAATAAAGATTATTGTGTTTTAGTTACTTTAGAATGAGCCGTTTATATCTACATGTTGCACTGCCATGTTTCTACAGTAGCCCAGACCAGACAAGCCAAACACGGCTCTACTTAGGGCCATTTGCGTTTTTGTGTTGGCCACCGTAGTTCGTAGCCCCTCCATCACAAGAGCATTGGACAAGATGATTCAAACCACTAAAAACACTAAACAAAGCAGTTTAACATGAAAGAAAATAGTGTTTTTCTGTTTGTTTTGGAGAGGAAGAGACCTTCGCAGATAATCCAGCTCCCATTAAAAACATCCTGATTGTCTGGATCTTCAGTTACTATCACTGATTTGTAACGTGATACTGGTTTATTCAGTATTTTTAACAGTTTTAATAACCTGGTCCATTGGTTTTTTAGAGGAAGAGACATCTGTAGATAAATCAGCTCCCAGTAAAAACGTCCTGTACAATGAATACTAAAGCAAATCTAACTGGGAGAAGTGGAAGAGAAGGATTGCAATCTGCAGTCCTCACCACTAGATGCCGCTAAATCCCTCCTTAAGCTTACTCACCTGACCTTTAAAACATTATCTTTATAAGAATATTTTCAATTTCCAAACATGTAATAAATGTTTTTTAACAGTCTTTGTAGTTGTTATCAGATATCAGGACATTTAAGTATTTAAAGACGTAGATCATGTTTATACATCTTTGTTTTACTATACTGTCATTCTTTGTTCAGTTATAGTCACTGAAAAATACATTAATAAACCCTTTATGAATTGACTGTATACTGCTCATAACTGCTAAAGAAAAGGGAAATTTGTTCAAAAAAATCCATACACTGATCAGCCACAACATTAAAACCCACTGACAGGTGAAGTGTGTAACATTAATCATTTCATTACAGTCCAACATTCTGTTAGAAAACCTTTGGTCCTGGCATTTATGTGGAAGCTACTTGACATGCGCCACCCACCCAAAAACCATGACAGACCAAGTAAACCCCCTCATGGCAATGGCACTCCCTGATGGCAGTTGCAGGACAATACCACACTGTAAAAACAGCTCAGGAATGGTCTGAGGAACGTGACAAAGAGCTTAAGGTGTTTACCAGGCCTACAAATTCCCCAGATCCCAATACGATTGAGCATCCGTGGGACATGCTGGTATTTTGCGTCACACCCTATATGTTTAGCCTATGGACTTAAAGGATCCACAGCCGACGCCCTGGTGCCAGACACCACAGGACACCCCCATAGATCCTGCTGCCATGCCTCGACATGACAGAGGCTCCACCCTGGATCAAACTTGGCTCTGATAAGGCATCAACACGGGATGCTTGATCAGATTGCGATCTGGGGAATATGGAGGCCAGGTTGACGCCTTGAGCACTTTGTCACGTTCTAAGGGTCAGTTCTGAGCAGCGTGGCATGTTGCATTGTCCTGCTGGGAGGGCCACTGCCATGAGGAGGTGTGCTCGGTCTGTAACGGTGTCTAGGTGGGTGGTGTGTGTCAAGTGGCATCCACATGAACCCCAAGGTTTCCCAGCAGATCATCGCATTGTAACAAGATGATCAGTGTTATTCACTGACTGTACATTATCCCTACATATTGAATTATCGCCCAGCCTCAGTCGTTATTGATGTTGTGCCTCTGGCAGGTATCGGCTACAGCGTTGTGCGTGTGCCCATGGCCAGCTGCGACTTCTCCACCCGTCTGTACACGTATGCTGACACACCTGGAGACTACAACCTGGACAACTTCACCCTGGCTCATGAGGACATCAACATGAAGGTATCTCTCTTCTCCTGCTCTCACACATACACACATCCATCACTCAGTTACTTTAATCTTACCTCCTCTTCTTCCTCTCAGATCCCTCTCCTGCAGCGTGCTCAGGCCTTGTCTCCTCGCCCCCTGTCTCTGCTGGCCAGCGCCTGGAGTGCCCCCGTCTGGATGAAAACTAACGGTGCTCTCATAGGAAAGGGCTCCCTGAAGGGTCAGCCTGGGGGCAAGGAGCATAAAACCTGGGCTCAATACTATATCAGGTGACATGTTGGGCTTTACCTTAATGCACTGTCACATGTTGAGGGAAACTTACCCTGATGGACGTTTTATTTTTTCTTTTCATCCCTCTCAGGTTCCTTGAGGAATACGCTAAATATAACTTGACCTTCTGGGCTTTGACCACAGGGAATGAGCCCTCTGCAGGACAGATGACAAACTACAGGTCTGTTCTCACATTATAAATGCCATCTTTGTGGCTGCTTAATTTCACAACAGACTGAGAAGTATCTTACTGCAGTTTCCAGGCTCTTGGCTTCACTCCTGAGGAGCAGAGGGACTGGGTGGCTCTGGACCTCGGCCCTGCCCTGCACGCTTCTTCACACCCACGCACACACGTTCTCATCCTGGATGACAACCGCCTGCTGCTGCCTCACTGGGCTAAAGTGGTGAGTCCAAGGATGGAGAGGTAGTGGGGAAAGCCATGTTATACCCAGAGCTACACTGGGCATGAAGGCACAAAATGAGTTTGAACTTAAATCAGTAATAATAAACATTTTTTATATTGTACCTTTCATACAAGAAGTGCTTTACAAAAAGAGCAGCAGAGGCACTGAATGCTTCACATGATAATAACTGGCAGATCAAGAAATGAAGACTATAGCGCCAAATAAAACAACAACAAAATCTCATAACATGATGAAGATATAATATATGATACAAGATACTGTAAAGAAGTAAAGAAGATATCAGGTAAGAAAAAAGTGATGAGGTGTTTGGGGGGGGGGAGTTTAAAAAAAAAAAAAAAGTCTAGTTAGCCACCATTCAGTCTGTAGTAGCAGCCGCAGGAATAAAAGACTTTTCCATCTTCCAATCTCACGTCTTTATTCTCTGGAGAAAATAGTGTGAAGCTACCAAAGTATCAGACAGGAACAAACTTAATGAAAGGCGTTTCTGTGTTGTGTAGCAGCTGAGATAGGCTCAGGCTCCTAAACCATGAAGAGTTAGGGACTGAAGAAGAACAGATTTCTGCAGGGTTCACCAAGTTCAATTTAATACTTCTTTAGACTTTTTATCACCACATAGACGGCAGTTGAATACGTGTTTCGCAGCCATACTGAGCAAAGTATGAAAGTATGATGGGAAATCAGCCGAGACAATTTGGCTTGAAGTTGTTTATTGTCTGGCTGTAGTAGGCCGGTACAATCTAGTACCACTAAGATTCAGTGCTGGTGCGCAGTACAGATTAGTGGACAGCAGCAGCCTGTGTAAACCAGTTTGGTAAAATTGAAAAGACATTCACAGATTGAAACATTTGGATCAATAACTTAAAAGCGAAATATTGTTAAATCACAAACGACCCCGCTTTCCACCTGTAGTAAGAAATACAACAAGCTACAAATTCATTTTCATCTAAACAAGGCATCCCCTGAGCTGGAGAAATAACTTTGACGTACGTGTGCAGCCAGCTGTGAGATTAGTATGCAGGGACCGTCTAGAAAGTGCCACACCAAAAAGAGATACTACAAAAATATTTAATAATCTCACTCTTATAAAGTGTAGTGTCCTCAGAATCACTTCACATATCAATGCTCTCCTCTTGGTTATAATACAACACTTAGCTTTGGTAAAAAAAAAGGCTTTCATTGTGGAAATATTAAAATAATTCACTCTTACAAAGTGTCCCTAGATATCCAATTACTTCAGCCCTACATTTTTTTGATGTGCCCAGTGTTCAAGAGGATTTAACTAACACACTCCATTTGGAATGGATGAGATGTGCCCTGAAAGACAGGCTCCAACAGTGCAATAAAACCTGAAAACCCCTCATATCATACCTTGCAAGGTGGAGGGAGGGTAGACCTGTGATGATGGGGATAATGGTCAGCTTGTTATCGTTCTCCTTTTTTATTATTTTATGTTGATGTAATTGCACTTTATTTTTTTACTACCTTATTTAATCTTACCTTCGTGCCTATTACAACAGTTGATCTGCTGTTGATCTCAGGGCATCATGCATGACTGTAATGTTCAGGAAAATGAGCCTTAGATGTAGATGTAGACTACTAGTGGAATCCATCTGCTCAGTAAAAGTTATTTAAAAATGTATGTGCCCAGTGTTCTTAAAAAAAAAAAAAAAAAGATTTTAGATTCAGAGATAGTTTAACTGTTGTGACTAAATATAGTTGTACTTTTCTGCTAATTTAAAACAGAACAAATTGTTATTTTGATGTTGAAATTTATGTCAACATTCACAAATTATTCTGTGGCAATTAATCAATTTTAATAAATCATTTGCTGTAACTAATGATATAATCAATTGTATTAATGCTGCCTGGACCCAGATGAGCAGCACACTACATGGGGATGGATAAACTGATTAAAAACGATATATTAATTTGTGTAATATCTCCAGATGCCTGCAACTGCATACAAAACATGTTTGAACTGTCTACAGCAGGAAAGAGAAACTATTTAAGACTTCTGTGAATTAAATTTAAGATTTTTTTTTATCAGCTAAAAAGACCTTAGTATGCAGGATTTCTCTATCATCACTTGAGAAACACTCTGTGTGTGGTGGTGTATTTTTCTGGAGACTCTGCCCTCTGCGTGTAATTTCTTATTTTATTTTATTTTCTGTGTACAGGATGTTTATGGCCGTGTACCTCCACAGCGCTCAGGTGAGGTCGGAGCTTTATAAAAAGGTAGAGAAGAGCTGCTAGACTGTAAGACTGTGAAAACTCAGCGGCCCCTGTGTTAGTCAGCAGATTTTTGAATTAAAATACAAAACTATTGAGAGTGTTTTAACTTCTCAACGCCTTGCCTGGTACGGTCACCTTAACTGTGCATCCAAGAATAAACTCTCTGGGATTATAACTATGGCAAGTAAAAGCAAAAGCCCTTGACCCAACTCTTACCAGAAAGGACAAGGAAGAAAGCAAGGAGTTATCTTGGCAGATAGCTCCACCCTCTCTTGAGCCAGTTTGAGCTCTGGGAGGCGCTATAGAGTTCCTCTGGCAACTAAAATTGTATGTAAGAAGTCCTTTATCTCGAGTGCCATCAGTGTCCTTAACTCAACAAAGTGACTGATGAGTTTTAAACCACAGACGGACAATGAGCTGATTTAATGTGTTTCAGTGTTTTGTAATGACTTTATATGCTTGTCTACCTGACTACTTGTTTGCTTTTTACCATGCTGTCTTTAATATTTGGTGAGCCGAAGACAAATTTCCACCCATGCTGGACTATAAAGATAGATTCTACTCTAAGCAGCAAGCATCCAAGAGACATAGCGCTTAAAAAAAACGCAAATGTAGCGAGTGAAACACCAAACCAGAGTGAATCTGAGGTCGATTTTCACTTTTACTTCTGCTGGCGAGTGTGTTTGCAAACAGCGGCTGACAGTCTTGCATAGGAGGCTACCATGAGTGCTTCTTTAGGAGTTCTCAGTACCTGCAGAAATCCATAACAGGAGCCCTGTTTGGTTTTCACATGTATTTTATGTGGAAACCTTTTTCACCTTGTCCCTCCAGGTCCTAACTGATGTTCACGCAGGCAGATACATTCACGGTGTGGCAGTTCACTGGTACCTTGACAGCTTCGTCCCAGCTGAGATAAGCCTGGGAGTCACCCATCACCTCTACCCAGAGTATTACCTGTTTGGCACTGAGGCCTGCTCTGGCTGGAGCCCACTGGACAGAGGGGTGAAGCTGGGCAGCTGGGACAGGGCTGCCCAGTACGCACATGACATTATAGAGGTAAGATCACATTATCTTCTTGCATGAGGCTTGTTCAGTCAGATCCACTGTGACAGATGTGAGAGTTGACAAGCTGTGAGCTGTTCCTGAAAGGTGAATCACCTCCCTCGATGCTGCAGTGCAGATTTACGAGTTGCACGCTGCTGCACACACACTCTTCAGAGATTGCCCGCAGGCTGTCAAAGCAAGCTGGAACTAGTGTTTAGTTTCCTCGCTCTCTCTCAAATGAAATTAGACTCCCTCCTTTCTATCTATTTTGCATGGGCGCATTCAGACTGGAGACATCTTGAGAATCAGGAGGGATTTATTTATGTAGATGTGTTGTCCTTGTGACATTTTAACAAAACACCAGGCACCAGTCCATTGGATTCATTTAAACCAAACAACACCTCTCACTACAAAGTTACAAAGCACAGACTAGATACTAATCTGTGGGTGTTTTCTCCACGGCAGGACTTAAATCATTATGTGGTGGGCTGGACTGACTGGAACCTGGCCTTGGACCAGACTGGTGGGCCAAACTGGGTTAAAAACTTTGTGGACAGCCCTGTTATAGTGGATGCAAAGCGGGATGTCTTCTACAAGCAGCCACACTTCTATAGCATGGCTCACTTCAGGTAGCACACTGGCTCTCACATGATCTTTGTTCATAGTAGTGTTATTATAGTTTTCATTCATTTTTCATTAGTTTTTACTTTGTTTTTAATTTTTATTTTCAGTTCCGTTACTTTCCAGAGTGGATTTCCTCATTTCAGTTTAGTTTCTATTGTTTCAAAATGTTTGATTTTTAGTTTAGTTTGTATTAGTTTCAGTCTTACTTTTAGTTTTTATGCCTCTGCAACAGCCCTTAACTCAAGAATTCATAAGCTGATTATGACAAAATTTCACACAAATGTCTTTAATATGATAGAATGATGAAGTGATGACATTTATATCCAAAAGGTCAAAGGTCAGCTGCAGTGTGACATAATAATGTTCTGCAAAAACACTTTTCTGGCCATCACTCAGCACCATAACTTCAGGAACAGAACAGGAGGCATTTGGTCAGACACTGAATTGGTGACACAACTCTTGGGTGCTCAACTTGAAACTGTGCTGACAGTAAAGAGCTTCTGTGATTTTATGAGTCTGGACAGTCGTGGATGTAAACTGCAACTTGACTGGTTGGGGGAGGGGTACAACCATGAGGCGGTAATTCTAGTTTTTTATTATAATATGGGTTTTTTTGTCAGACGCAAGCTCTAAGACGTTTGGTTTAGTTTATCAGAATCCCCATTCGCTACTGCATTGCAGCAGCTATTCAGTCTTTGGTCCACAACAGCTGTGCATTTGTGACTGTTTACAAAACAACTCACATACAACACAAGACAGCTCCTGGTAATACAGTTATTAAGATATATGTTTTTCCATGATTTCATTTGGTAAGTAACCGCCATTTCGGGGCTAAATTTTCCTTTTGATTACCAGATGATGCTCCATTATTGTAATATTAGTCCAAGTATTTACATAATACTGTACACTCACATTTATATGTTTCCCTACATGCATTACATGTGCTTTAAAAGAAACAGTTCCCAGGGAAAACTGTATGTTTACCATGCACGAGGTTCATTACAGTGCATGAATCATATTATGTAGGTCACCCTTTCTTGTAGCCTCCTTTGGGAAAACATGGAAATATGATTAGCATACTAACAGAAAACACAAGACACAACAAAGACAGACCCTTCACATCCTGAGACACATGACACAGTCAAACCTACCATTGATATTAATTGATTAGGCTTTGACAACTATACTTTTGTCTGTTTTATGGATAATCTGAGTATTTGTCAAAAGGTGCAGCTTCAAAAGAATTTAAAATCTAGCTTTGTTGTTTTTCCTGTGTGATATGTTGCCAGAGTGACTTCCATTCATGCATATCTCTGTGCATTACTGTATGTTTGATTGAGTTTGTTCTTACTGTTGGTAATGTAAAGTTACCTATTGTAGCATGTCTTGTAGGGTGACCATGCCTATCTGAACTAAAAGATAACTTTTTCAATAGTCAGTTATATAATAAGTCAGTTAACTCACAGTCATGTAGACATCCCAGTCTCAATAAATATGCACTAATGCCTCCTCATGCTTGTTGACAAGGACCAACACTAAAGATATTTCCGGTATATTTTAATTTTATTTTAGTCAGTGTTGTAAGTGCACAATAGCGCGTAAGTAAGTTATTTTTCTAAAGTCTATTTTTTTTAATTTTATTTTTGTTTACAATTTTTTTTTCACAGCTAGTTTTAGTTTTAGTTAAAGGGGCGCTATGGGAAATTCAAATTGTGTGAGATCCCTGAACACGGTTCTCAACATGGAGGTAGCTGATGGTAGCTAGCAGCTAACAGTGCTGAACAACAGCAACAATGCGAACAGAGCTAACGGTGTTAACCAGAGGGGAACTGGAGGGTGGGCGCTACACCTCTGTGATGTCACCGTCCCCACATCATCAACAACTAAGGTATGCACGCAGTGCAAAGGGATGGCGATGAGCTAGCCAGTGAGATACACACGTGCACTAATATGCATGCATTGGGACTGGGTTATCACAGCAAACCACAGAAACTCAGATTACAGCACACACACACAGATGTGGTGTGACTTCATTCTCTGCTCAGGACGCCATTACACCATCATATTGTTACATAGCAAATAGTGGATTGCTGCTATGTTAATGCTCTGAATGTCACATATAGAACTTTTTAACTAAAATAACTTTGGTTCAAACTAAATGCCAAGATGGCAGTATAAAAAAATTCTAACAAATCACCTCTTTACACAGTAAGTTCCTGTGGGAGGGGTCTCAGAGAGTGGGTGTGTCCGCCAGCCAGGACACAAAGCTGGAATATTCTGCCTTCATCAGAACAGACGGCTCAGTAGTGCTCATCGTACTCAACAGGTACGTATGTGAAAAAAGTTTTTATGTGCAAATGACAGGAAATTAAAGTAAATTAAAGGAAAAATAACAATGTGTTTGTGTTTTGTAGGTCACCATCAGTGATTCAGTTTGAAGTCGGGGATCCTGCTGTGGGCTACATCTCCTCCACTGCTCCGGCTCATTACTTGCTCACACTCGCTTGGAACACACGCTGATGATTAACGCTTCAGTTGGTAACTTTAATCATAATAACTTATTGTCATATTTGCTGAAATTGACCCTTCGCTAAGTCCCACCCTCTGAAGCAGACTGGCCAATAATAACGTAGCATGGGTCCGGCTCAGACCAGGATCCAACAACAACACAGCTCCATTGACTCTAATGCAATCGTTTCAGATTTCCTTCATTTTCAGGCTGGTTTTGTGGATTTGGAGCTAAATGTCGTGCCTGGGGCACGTCGTGTATTAATGATACTCGTTACCTGGAGAGGTTGGAAAAAGATATACGTTTCTTCCCTGTTCCAAAACCAAAATCAAACCCTTAAAAGTGTAGGGTTAGCTAGCTAGCTACTGAAGATGTAGCCTACTGAATGTATACACATGCTGCTTTTGCTTTTTAATGATTATAACAGTGAATAAAGACCGACCGTGCTGTACAGGAACCAGTGAAGTGATGCCACACAGCTGGTTCAATATCAGCAAAGTTTCCCTTTATATTCATTGTCTTCTGTGGCGATCAGCAGTGATGTGGTGGTTCACTTTAGGCTTTAGCTTCTATCTTTGTCTTTTTAACCTGTTTAGACTGTAGACCCCTCTGTCTGCTTCTTTCTGCAATCACTGTTTCATTTCTCCAAAGATATGATAATATTTCTTCAGGGAGTGCAGTTAGTTACAGTGTGGGCTCCACGCTTAGTCTGACAGCTTGACGGACCATCACAAATGGGCGGGGCTTAGCGAAAGGCCATTTGTCACCTCATACAAACAGTAGTGCATGAGATGGATAGTCTGGGATTAAAATACAAATGCCATTTGAAGCACTATAAGGAAGGTGAAAGGAACATGTACTACTGTCTGGTTGCAGTGGCAATTTCAGCAAATATGACAGTTATTTTTATAAAAGTTACTACCTACAGCTTTAATACAACTTCACATACATTTGTTCCACCTCCGCCGTGTCACAAATGTGTACGTGCACATTTCAAAATGCCACAAAAACTAAGCACTTCACGTTGGAACATTCTCATTACCGAAGCGGTAATTACTTGAAGTACTTTGTCGGTATCGAACCACTCACATGCATGTTTTCAAATTAACAGGTGCAAGATTTTCTTTTTGTCCACAGCTTTAGTGATTTCAGCGGTCACTTAAATTAACCTCAGTCAACAAGAATAACCTCAACTCATTTGATTTGCATTTGTATGCACCAATCATCAGGAATCATACCTAAGAGGAATGAATGTATCACCTGTGCCGAAGTGTAACTGGTGCCTTGATTACCTGCTAATACAACGCTTTAAGTGTCCTCAACATCTCGTAAGAAATAATATAATGTACAGAAATTGTAAATGCCTTGCTGTTGCTGTTTAATTTTAAATAAAGCACATATTGTTTTAAAATATCCCACATTTCAAGTATCTTTGAGTGCAGGACATAGTGACATTTATAATCAATGAAAATTCAACTGTGCCAGTTTTTTTGTCAATTTATTAATACATCATAGACATTTTTTCATATATATAATATACAGTTTGATAACCTGGTATTTCACATTTGTGTCTCCATTCTCATTGTTTTTTTCTTTTGCAAACCATAAGTTGTTGGACTAAAATTATTTACATCAAGAGTGATAAAAAATGTGAAACAAAAGACGGTCATAAACAGAGGAATAAGACGACAGAGGGATGCCATCTGTTTATAATATATACACCAGGAGGAGCATGTTTAAATCTAAAGTATTAGGTAATGGGACGAACTTTGTAGATTTTTTTTATTTCATTCCCTTACTGGCATGACATTTAATTTTTATTCCCAATAGGTGTAAGGAACCCTCTTGCTTTCACTCAATGTCACAGCTTTCATTTTTCCATTTGTGGCCGTTAAACAGCGGCGACTCAACGTGATTCCTATATAAAATACTCTTTTATTGAAGTGCACCGCAGAGCGTGGACGCAATAATATGAACACCTTCACAATGCAAACTGATACAACATCACCAGAATAAATAACCAGAGTTCAATCAAGATCTTCCTGACAAAATCTCTCAACAGAACATAACATTTATTGCAGGGCTGTCGGTGTTCATGTTGTTAGGTCCACACTCTGTAAATGCCAAGAGTGAAAGTAACCCCTATAGTATTCCCATGTGACGTACAGGGCTCAGTTGCAGGATTTCGCTAATTTTCCGATGGGTTAAGATGGCGTGGTATATGATATAAAGTCTGGCATTTCCCCACAATAGTGTATTCGCAGCAGTGCATTTTAAGAAAGATGGAAAAGGAGTTTGCTTGAGAGGTGGAAGTCGAGAAGACATGGGCTTGATCTAGCAGACCTCGACCGACTGTTAAGACGTCTGTACGGGTATCTGTATACATGGTTGAGGAGAAAGGCATTAAAATAGAAAATAAAAATACAAAAGAAAAATATCAGACTGAGATGATAATGACTGCAACAGAGATGAAAAGAGGAGAGCGAGAAGCCCTTCGTCTTCTCGGTGTGTTGTTGGATGTAGGCGAGGAGAACCGAGGGATGACGGGTGGGTGTCTCAGAAGGACCATCTCTCCTGTGTGCGGGGGTCCATGGAGAGGGTGGGGGACTCTGACGGGGGCTGGCTGCTGCTGTCTTCTCCGTTCAAACTCTTCCTACACACTGGACACGTGTCATGCTGTGTGGTCACGGAAAAGAGCATTGATAACATTAACTTTGGGCAGTTTTAACCAGCGGATTCTTTATTTTACTCCTATATTTACACGATGCTCAGGCTGTTATTTGTCTGGTCAGTTAAATACAAAGACGGGCCAGAAGCTACAAATGTTTTCTCAAACGCCCTGAATCTTAAACAATCTTAAAATGCCTTCTCCTGGCCTAATATTCAGTTGCGTGGCGTTGTGGATCCTTGATTTGCACAAAGAGCAACTCTAGCGTGGATTTTAATGTAGCAGATTTGTCTGTTAAACATTCACTCTGATCTCTACTCCAGCAGTAAAACAAAGATCAAAGTATTGAAGATTGGCAATGCTGCTTACCCTAAATTCCCACCCTACCTATGTTATATAACTTAAAAATAACATCAGGCTATTTTTGCCTCTTTTTAGGTGGCAGGAGAGAAAATTATCCTCAACATTTGTTGTGTTATGGTCTCAGACTGATAAAGAAAATTGGAGAATGATTAGACACAAAATTTATCCATCTCCTCAATTCTCAGAATCTATGTGGGGAGAAAAGTCAGTGTGCAATTACAGCTGAATGTTGCCACAAGAGAAACAAGCTCTGTAGTAAATGTTTGAGTGAATACATCTGCAAAGAGAGTGTGTGTGTGTGTGTGTGTGTGTGTGTGTGTGTGTGTTCAAAGTCTCATTACAATCAGGATCAGCCATCCAGTGCTGCCAACAGCTGATAAGAGCGAGGCTATGATTCTAATCATTCCTAAAGTAGTTTGCTAGAGAGTTTAAGTGATCTAAATAATGTGTGTGTGTGTGTGTGTGTTCAAAGTCTCATTACAATCAGGATCAGCCATCCAGTGCTGCCAACAGCTGATAAGAGCGAGGCTATGATTCTAATCATTCCTAAAGTAGTTTGCTAGAGAGTTTAAGTGATCTAAATAATGTCTCTAGACCATGGTCCATTATAAATAAATAAAATAAGTAAATACAGTTTTGAAGGAAACACGAAATCTCTTTTTTGGTGTTTTCTTCCTATTATGATGGTAACATTTAAAAACATGGCACGAAATATCAACTAACACGTTACTCTATTTTAAAAACAAAAGTTTAAAAAGTATCAAAAAGTCTTCGTCAGTGTCTTCAAAAGTAACCTATAAGATCCATTTATTCTCTGCCAGCTCTTGGGTTAAAGTTTGGTTAAGTTAAGGGAACTAAAACTGGTTATATAATGTTTGTCAAAAGTTTTGGCCATGAAAAAAAAAGACAGGACTGATAATAACTCACAGCTGTGCCCCATGTCGGGGAGCTAGAACCAGGAGTCTTCCCCTGCCTGGACCCTGCTAGGTTTGGGTTTAGCCCTGAATGTTTGCAACGTCTGGCTCCACCGATGGTCACATATACATCAGCAAAATTCCCCACTTCTAATATTAAATGAATACTAGAGTATGGCAACTTAAGCATGGGTAAACTAATCCTGTATTTAGCATTTAACAATTGTAATTTAATTTAATTAATTGTAATTTTATGAAACAACCAAAATTAATGATGGATTTTTTGCACATATGTTTAAATTTCCCTTAGGTCTTAAAGGGACAGTTCACCCCAAAATCAAAAATAAATATTCTGCCTCTTAACCTGTAGAGCTATTTTTCAATCTAGATTGTTTTGTGCGAGTTGCAAAGTGTTGGAGATATCGTCCTTAGAGATGTCTGCCTTCTCTCAAATATACTGGAATTAGGTGGCACTTGGCTTTCGAGTTTTGCCAATGTATTTCTTGGTGCTTTGAGGACCACAAGCAATGTCTCTTTCCAGAAATCATGACCTGGTCACTAAAGATAATCCACAGACCTTGTTGTAAGCAGTTTCATGTAGGAACTATTTTCTCTCTATTGAACTACATCCGCCAACTGTCACTACGCAGAAGGAAGGAAGCGTGCATCTACTCATAGATGAGAGGCTCATGCTCCAGACACTGTGAAAACATTGATGGCATCCTTCTTGGCTGAGCTGTGATGTTAGCTAACTTAGTGGTGCTAGGTTAGCTAGCAGGAGATTCACCCTTCTTTCTGCACAGTTATAGTTCAGTAGACAGACAAAAGTTCCTACATGAAACTCCTCACAACAAGGTCTGTAGATTATCTTGAGTAAGCGGGACATGACTTCTGGAAAGAGACATTGCTGTGAGTTTTTCAAATATATTTTTGGAACTATCTAGTTCCATTATATTAAAGAGAAAGCAGACATCTCTACGGCTGATATCTCCAACACTCAGCACACAGCAAAAAAAAATCTAGATTGATAAATAGCACTACAGGTAAGAGAAAAAAATGTGTATTTTCTTATTTTAGGGTGAACTGTCCCTTTAATATCTGCATGAGCACTGTGAATATTTCACATACAAGTATCATATGTCATTAAAGGATCTATTTTGTTATGACTCACCATTTCCAGCCATGGTACTATACAGTCTGAATGAAAGAAGTGGTTACAGGGTAGCTGTCTGACTGGCTCTCCCACTGCGAAGTCCTCTTTGCACACCGGACATTCCATACAGCAGTCTGCAGAGGAGAGGTGAGAGAAACGTTCAATCAGT